CGTAGTGCACTCATGGCCTTTAATCCGGTTCATCCAGTAGTTCTTGAGATCCAGCATTGGTTGTTTCTTGTTCATAGTAAATTTAAGTCGGTTAAGTTTTCTTGGGTTCCCAGCCATATTGGTGTGTCTTTAAATGAGCGTGCGGATGCTGCCGCCAAGGAAGCTGTCCGCTCTTGTCCCATCTCTCGTAAAGGTATTCCATATTTCGACTTTTACCCAGTTATCCATTCCTCCGTCCTTACCCGTTGGCAGGCTTCTTGGTCGTCTGTTACTGGTAACAAACTACGTACTCTTAAGTGTTGTGTTTCCTCGTGGCCGTCCTCCTACCACCGTAACCGGCGATGGGAAACAGCTCTGGCGAGGTTGCGTTTTGGCCATACTTGCTTAACCCATGGTCACTTGATGGAGCGCCGCCCTGCTCCTTATTGTCCTAGTTGCATTGTCCCTCTTACGGTCGTGCATGTCCTTCTTGAATGTCCTGACTTCCAGGACGAGCGTTTGTCTTGCTTTCCGACCGCCCCTCGCAGTCACCTGTCCCTCAATAAAATTCTTGGTGACTCGGATACTTTTGATGTCGTTCGCCTTATGCGTTTTTGTTCTCGTATTGGCATCCTTGGTGATATTTAGCGCTCTCTGATTATTCCGCACGTTTGATGGTACTACATAGCCTTCCCGGTTTGGTGCCTTCTTTTGATAATTACTTACTTACTTGACAGTTTTGAGGCTTCGAGTCTTGTGTACCCAGTAGTTCAGTTATCTTACTGTAAAGCTTTGCTGACTTTCTAGAATCTAGAAAGTCAGAAGCTCAGAAGAATTAATCATCCACACCCACGTCATATAAATTGATGCGGACATGGATTTATTGACTTTATATGTCGCAGGCGTGGATGCATGCATGGCTGGGGATGCGCTTTGGGTTGATCCGGTTCCCCCATTCCCTGTTCCAGGGCTTGGGTCTCCCAGGTCGTCTGCAGAGTTATTAAGTCTAGCCAACCTGCAGTCTATCCTCGTGCCCTTAACATTAGGAAGTTTGCTGCTTTGGCTGCCGTCTTTGGCAATATGTTTTGAGCTGACATTCAGGCCAGGAATGTCTGGAAATAAAAATATTAGATTTTGGAAGTTGAACAGGATCCTGGCCGCTTATTATTTCGTCATTATTCCTGGGCCTAGTCATCCATTTGTGGCTTTAGGTCGCAGGCTGCACCCAATTGTCACGACTTTGAGTTGAGGAGTGAGTGATGTCTGTCTCCCGGGTAAGTCCCTATTTCCCTTTTTTTGGTGATGTAGCTCCAGGGAGCCATAGTGGCTTCCCTCAGAAAACCAACATTGAATGTAATGAAACGCCATTTTGGGGTGACTCTCGGTGGCTCCCTGGCAACCCTCCCTCCCTCCCTCTGGTTGACAGTTCCGTTTCCTTTTGATGCCCACCCTCCAAACTGGATGGCTTGGGTAGCCGACACAGGGAATCCAGGACTGCTCCTCCCCCTCCTGGAGGGGGGGGGGGGGGGCTGAATGGACAGGCGGCATGACAGTAAGGTGTGACATTTGCTTGTTTCCTTAAGTTGTAGGTTGAGTTTTGCCTCCCTGTTCAGTTTTTAGTCGCAATTTCTTATCAAGTGGGGTTCGTTTTGTTTTGTTTTTATGCCTATCTTTCTGGGTGCCAACCCTGGTCAATGGCAGACATGGAATGCCCCAACCACATGGAGGTGGGGGTTCTATTGGCCATTGCTCCCTTTCCTCTCTGATGGGGCCAGGTTCTGGCTCATGGTCCCCGGTAGGCTGAATTCCAATTGACTGAAACCCCAGACTAATAACACACATCAGCCTGATAGCTCCAGGGAGCCTTATGTGTGGGAAAGTCTGACTCAGAATGTTAATAAAAATAATCATTACATTCGATAGCTGTGAAGGACCACCCCTTTTGTGAAAAAGGGGAAACTGAAATGAGCAAATGTATTAAAACTAAATTCACGAACTACTGCCTATGGATCTTGAGGAATAATGGTGTAATGTGAAACATTAATAAGACTGTATATTATAATTAAATTAAGAGTCAAACTCACTCACTCAAACTTTGTGGGGTACAGGCGCTAAGTGAATGCTACATTAATAGTACAATAATCCGATGCTGGTTCTTCATCAGAATAAATCATGAATACATAAGAAATATCAATAATAATTATATGGCATATAAAGTAATCATAAATTTGATTTCTAGAATTAATCAAATGTTAATAAATGAAATGATTTATATAGAATATCAATAATCAACTAAGGGTTAGTTATGGCTACTTAATACTATGACAATGGCTTAGCTGTAAGAAGTGAGAAACGTGAACATCTGTCGCCAAGCGTCACTGATAACTTGTTGCGTCAGGTAATTTGTTCCATGTGATCGTGGCGTAGCCTATCTTGCTTGACATGGATTCGGGAGTTGAAAGGCAGTTACATTGTAAAAATTTGTCTACATAAGAATTACAAGACATAATTCCCAAAAGAAATTGAGGGAAGAGTAAGATGGGAAACATACTGGTTTGATTCTTTTCTTCCTACGGCTTAACGACAACCCTCCCATATGTTTAACGTGTGATCACAATACTAAACAAAATTAGGAACTTATAGTTGCCAAGCCGAGTGTTCGTTGATTAAGAAAACTATCCCAATCCTCTGGCCTCCTCTGTTGCTAGAAGGACGTAATTTAAGGACTGGAATTTGATGAGTTCCTGGACACTGCTGTTCTCTACCAAAGTTAATATGGCGTCTCCCTCGCCCTCCCTCCTCCTGGTCTCATCCATGCATGCACAAAGGCACACAGAGTTGACATGGAGAATTCTTCTACTATTAATTTATTCAACCACGCGAAACATTAAGACTAGGAGTTGTTATAAGAGAGGTGGTATTATTTGTATTCTTGTCGTATAATAATTGACATGAAATGGAGTTCATATCTACGAGAAGTGGATGGAGAAATTCGTTCCTCCATGCTAGTCTGTGATAACAGAATGTACTGTTATCTGGTAATCTTCAGCTAATAACGCAATTTTATATGATCACTGGTCAACAGTATCAGTCAATAATTCTTAGAAAGAATATTGGTATGAAAAGAGAATAGAACTCAATTCTCTGAAATGTAGATGTTATCTTTCCCTCTGCTGATTTGCTTGACGCAACCATGCCACATAGTAGGAAAGATTTGGCGAATAATTGCACAGTAGGAAAGGTATTAATATTGTTTTATCTGCAAGTTAGTAATATTAGTAAATTACTATTATTAGTACAAGGATGATTTATTGAAGTGCAAAAAATGATGAATAAGTGTTGGGTATTTCCAACAATAGGGACTCCTTTATGAAAATAGATATATATAATGTGTGTATAGTGTGTATTAACAGCAAAAACAGTATGTTTATTATTCAAAGAATATATTGTACAGTAATATTTAACTGGTATTAGTGACATGAATATATGTGTGTACCAATATTCTATATGTTTTGATAAAAATAATAATATTGACAGCCCAATACAGCATTGCACTTGAAAAATCCATGGTAAAAACATTCAAAATATAAAAAAAATGTTACATATTCAATGCATGCTGTTAGAATTTAGTGCAAAATATGCGAGTCTAGGTTGAACTCTGATAACCAGTATTCCATATTTTTGAGTATAGCGATGGTCCACACATATTATTATAAAAGTTTATTCATGTCACACACCATTGAATATTACTACTGGAAAAAAACACTGATAACTATTGAAATAATTAAGTAATACAGTAATATTTTTGTGACAACTCCCACCACAGGGCTTGGCTGGAGCAGAGCCTTTTGCTTTTAGGCGCTTTAACGCCTAAAGGTTTCAAACACAGTATAAAGGTTTCAATACAAATTTGGCCTTACTGGTTTAGAGCCATCTTTTGATAATTACCAATTTTTCATCAATTCTGTTCATGTTCAGTCATGTAGTCAGTGCCTGTATCTTGTTATACTTCTTCCCCCTATCACCGCCAAAGTATATCGCAAACAAACAAAATTTCCTGTGATTAGGGAACTAATTTTAACAATATTAGAAAGAAAAGTATTTTTTTGTTTTCTTGTGCAGTTTCTGTCTTACTTGATCAACCAGGCTGCGAACAGCTGCGTCAAAGAGCCTGGTTGACCTGTCCAGCAACCAGGAGGACTGGGCCGCGGGAACGTTGAGCCCCGAAATCATCACAAGGTAACCGGAGGGTTGCCAGCTATTAAGCTGCACAGCCCTGAGGTTAAGCATGTCACTTGATTACAGCTTTTGCAGTGGTGCCTTTAATAGCACATTAGTGCATAAACATACAGTATAAAGGTTTCAACACAAATTTGGCCTTACTGGTTTAAAGCCATCTTTTGATAATTACCAATTTTTCATCAATTCTGTTCATGTTCATGGGTTAGGAATAAAAGATATTCATGTTAGTATAATGGTGAAAAATTTTCACTCTTAGGATTGATGCAAGATCTTTGAATATAATGCTTTATTTAATTTCTTCAAAGGTGGGGAGAAGTTTATCACGTCCAGTACTGTACTTATCTATAATACAATTTACTTTTCAGTAATTAAAATTTTGTGTTGGGTGTCAATTAACAAAATAATTTGCTTTTGGCATTACTAATTTCCAACCGATATTTGTTAGTTACTGCTACCTATAAGTGATTTTTTTTTTTCTAAGTTGATAGTCTAAATGAATTTTTCAGCATATTACTTTTAGGCAAGCCATTGGGTTTTAGGTTTATCATTGGCAGTACAGTAACTATCCTAAACAAATATGTACTGCTTTAGAAAATTATTTGGAATAAATACATTTTCTGTAGAAGTGTGTAAATAAGTTTTAAAACTAAATAGTAGTGCTGTACAATATTAATGTTGACTTGCTAGTCATAAATATTCTTATTATTGTATGAAAGTCACATTACCAGGCAAATTAATAAAATTTGTACAATATTTGATTTAAATATTATTTTCTTTAGTTCCAGAGACATGGAAGTCGTACTTCACAAGAACGATTTGTTAAACCAATTGCCCCTCCCCCAAGTAGTTCTGCTCTGTTGGCCACACCAGCCTCGCACCATCCCTCGTCTAGCACATCGGGATCATCCAACTCGACACCACCACATCATCCTCCACTTGTTCCAGCACCTCATTTACCCTCCTCTCCTCATCCAGTTGCTCCTCCTTCACCAATGGATGTGAGTCGCAACTGATGGAGACAGAAGGCATTGGATTGGCAACAAGGGTCCTGTGTATTTTCTGGAAAGGTTGCTAGCAGGCATTTTGCCCTGATAGACTTGGAGCTTTTTCTCCTCCATATTGTTGAGTCTTGATGGTCTTATTTGTTGTGAAAAATGTGATAGTTACTGATATGGGTGAAAAAAGCCAAAGCTGCTAAGCTGATGGGTATCACTGTCCGGACAACACAGTGAACGGTATGCCACAATTATCATGAGGAAAATTAGTAACTGGATTCTTATGCCTCTGAGCTAGTGGCAGTTATATTGTGGCAGTTATTGGGGTTCGTTGGTTGAGTGAAATATGTGATATACGAGATAATATTATAGAGTAAGAGTCAGACGAGAAGATTATAGAATGAAATTAAAAATCTGTGGTAGCATAGTAGGTTTTAGGCATGTATAAATGGAAGTGCTACGTGCCCCTCTTTGTCAATTGTGATATCAAAACTAGTGATGTGTTGAGCATATATTCAACATTGACTTTGTAGAGGTTTGTCCTTGCTTGTTTTGCTTTAAAGTGCCACCATGCTTCATTTGATCTTGACACACTTGATTACAATATTTACTTTAAATTAATACAGTTTGATATGTAAGTTTATGCACAAAATTTTATGAATTGGTAGAAGTATAAATTGTGAATTATTTGTCTTGGATAATGGTCTTGCTTAATTTTTTGGTGTATAATAACTGGTTTGGGATACTGCATCTCCTTGTCATATGTTAGCAACCAAACAAGAACAATAATCCGATGCATTGAGTGATATTATATATTGTTTTATTTTCTCCAATTTAAAATTGTCCAGTTTATGCAATTAGTAATAGCTGACACAGCTCTATATAATGCACTCTTCAGGCTCGTTGAAGGCTCATCATGAGTAATATCAATTGTACCTTGGTACAGGAATAATAATCTTGTTAGATATTGTACTTTATTTAAAAACTGGAATGGCACAGCATGTTTGGATTTGAGAGAAAGTAGTCCATATTTCTCTGAAAGAATACCAATGTTAGTTTCGATACTTTAAGAGTAAAAACACGCTTTCGTGGACAGTCTCCCATTGCTTTCCCCATCCTCGTTCTTGAACAGTTACAAAAAAGCATTGCCTATATTTTTGGAGACTGTTTTGAGATACAGCAGCTGGCTTTGTATGTTTACAAAGATATCAAAAAATATTCTTTTGTTAAGAATTGAAGTGGATCCATCCCCCATATTAACCTATTAATTGTAATAGATTATGCAAGGTTAAACAACTCCTTCGAGTTTTGAAAGTTACTGTATACGGTATTTAAAATATGTCGAAAATCTAATTTTTTTAATTCTCCGAGTAATACATTATTACTCGTGAATTGGAATAAAAGGGACATGGAGCACATGCACTTTGTCTTTTAGATAAATGATCTTTAAACACTTGCGATGAAGTGTTCATGCACACGTGTATACGTGATCATATGCATACAAAAATACACTGGTATACATGTGCATGTTTTCTAAACAGAAAATCTAAACATTCATATGCTAATTCTCAAAACAAAACAATACAAAAAAACAAAAAAAGGAAATTAATATTGCACAGGTAAAGGAATGAAACTCCCAATTTATTAATGTATACTTTAATTACAGGTTTTTAAATTAATTTTTAAGCACTATTCTTGCAATTTTTTTTTAATTAATTGATGGTCTTGGGGTGCATGTACCAATCAACACACTAAGCATTTTTTCTTAAAAAAATGTAATAGATTAGTAGTTATTTCCCTCCACTCTGTCTCTGAACTTATGTGAATCAAATTTTTGTGTTGTTATTAACAACCTTCCTTCGTTTAATGATTAGACTTGTTAGCTATTTTACATGTAGTTGTTGTATAATAATCCTCCCAAATACGTATGAAAAGAAATAGCAATGTAATAGTCCTTTGTTTATGGTGTTAATAATCCAGATAATTTTTTGTTATTTTTTTCCCCCAACTTTCCAATTCCTTGTTCCCACTCTTAAGTGCGTTGCCAACATGAATCTGCCTCTGACATTCATATTCGTATCATGTTTATTCAATTTTCTATAGTGTTTGCTACTCTGTAAACATAAATTTGAGTACGTTTTCTTTGCTGCAGAACCTGTTATAGATAGAAATAAGAATCTGGCACATTGAGGTTTACACTTTTCTGTTCACTAACAACAGATGAGGTATATATGTGGATATAAAAAAAAACATGAAGTCGTACCATTATGTGACTAGGGATAGATTCCCATAGGGTGATGTAGTTTATGCAGTGAATGGGTTTGTAGCAAGTCTAAATTTAAAAAAAATGCAGCCTCATATTTTGATATAAATTATGATCTAATGATAGTGATTAGTTATCTCATAAATAATTATGCTCATGGACAAGTACCTACATTGTGTCCCCAATCTGAGTTTTCCACAGAGTTTTATACCTTCATTGTTACACACCGTGAATTGCATAAACCACCTTTTACGCACACAGTTGCCAAATGATTCACTGTTAAACTTTCAGTGCAACTTTTAGCATCAGCATTGTGATCGTAGAGGATGTGTAGTTTTTAATTTAACTTTGTGTCTCCAGATTTGGCCATCCATTTACTTAACATGAACTCATTATCCACCTGTAAGATGCAAAGTGCCCTATGGAATCAAATTTGCCATGATAACTATTTTGTCAGTGCAGTAAAAGTCCTGTATTGACAATGTAAGTTGAACCCCAATTTTTTTTTCTACTTTTATATTTGGAACCTTGAATGATATTTAGGAATTCTGAAATATTGTTAACAGTGGTAGATAACCATCCTGGCTTAGCACTCTTGATAATTTTTACTTATTGTTGGTGATCTCGACAGTTTTCATATCTTGACCTTAACTCTTTTTAGTTCATGAGTATTACTTATTTGACATTACATTGACTGTCACAATATGTTTTGACTATCACTTATTATTTACAAGTTTTAGACTATTCAGTTTAGGTTTGTGCTCAGCATATTTTCCACGTATATCTCGATTGTGAAGCAAAATGCCTTGCATCTCTGTATCATGTCACTGGTTGCTGTTATACTTGTCAAGCTGATTTGGCATTTTGGGTTTAATTTGGTCATGTTTCTTTTTTTTATTCCCTTAAAGTTTAAATAGACATATTACCATTATTTGATGAATACCCTGTTATACTGTATATTGTTACCGTGTTGCATGACTGCTTTTCAATTATACTACCGTGCATTTTCTTTGCATAAGACCACGGATGTGTTTAAGCAACAAAATAATAGACGGTAGCATAATGATGAACCCCCATTTGAGCCCAAGTAAACGTTAAAAGTTTTGAGGTAGAACGTTGAACATACGTTTGTTTACTATCACGTAACCTGTCTGCTATCATGTTCAATGCATGCACAAAGAGTGCAAGTTAATGGGTACATAGGTGTAGTGTCCTATAGCTTTGATTTGAAAAGGGAGTATTGTAGGTGAACTATTAGGCTTTTTGCAGCATGACTAATACAGTGGAACATAGGCACAAACTGGGAGTCTCCTCTTGGGTGGAACTTGTGTGTAATGACCCGTCATTTATTTGCTAAAAGTGACGGCATACCGAGTAATAATTAGGAAGGCTTGACTATTCTGGAACACAGATATTATATATCCTTCTGGGCTTGGCACTTAATAAATACTTAAATGGTAAAAGCATCTATTTGACGTAGCAATTCTAATATGGCATGTTGTTCTTGAAGGCTCGGAGGTTTGCACAATCGAGCTATAGAACTTGTGAGCAATTCAATCGCTTAATGTTTCCTATTATGTTAGTAATGCACAGTACTCTACTTCCTGTTTGTTGTGGAAGGTAAAATTAATTGGGTTCATGGATAAAGTTTTTTGTCTTGTTTTACTTTGATGACCAAATTTTCCCGTGTCCTGGGAACCGTGAAAAATTTTCCAGTGTTTTATTTTGTATATTTAGAAGGATGTTGATAATTGATGCTGGTATATCCTGTATATGTAAATCGGTTTCCCATTACACATCTTTGTGCATTGTTAACTCTACATGATTGTGATTATAAGTACTGTGTGTGTGTATGTATGTACACACACACACTATATATACACACACACATATATATATACACACACACACACACATATATATACACACACACACATATATACACACACACACACACACACACACATATATATACACACACACACACATATATACACACACACACATATATATACACACACACACACACACACATATATATATACACACACACACACATATATATACACACACACACACACACATATACACACACACACACATATACATATATATACACACACATATACATACATACACATATATATATATATATTTTATTTTACATATACATTGATTGATTGACAGTTGAGAGGCAGGCCAAAAGAGCAGAGCTCAACCCCTGCAAGCACAACTAGGTGAATACACACACACACACACCATACACACTGTGGTACCTCAGCTTACGATTTAATCCGTTCCCCAGAGCCTGTTCGTAAGGTGTTACTGTTTGGAAGGGGAGTCCCCTTCCATTATAACATCAGGCAGTGATGACTTTGCTGGGGTACTCTCTCCTACGTTTTTGCAGAAGTATCACTAGAAACTGGTTGTGGCTCACTGCTTGCTTGTCTTATTAAGAATCTCTCTAAAAACACTTGTTTTCCCTACATTTTAGCACTTGTCTGTAGTAAAATATCACATTGTCATTTAAAAGGTCAATGCAACGTCCTTCTACAGCTTTATCTGGGTGAGTTTCTTCAACAAAACTTTGCAGTTCTTCCCATACTTCATTACCCGGTTATCCATTCCTCCATCCTTGCCTGTGGCAGGCTTCTTGGTTGTCTGTTACTGGTAACAAACTACGTTCTCTTAAATGTTGTGTTTCCTCGTGGCCGTCCTCCTACCACCGTAACCGGCGATGGGAAACAGCTCTGGCAAGGTTGCGTATTGGCCATACTCGCTTAACCCATGGTCACTTGATGGAGCGCCGCCCTGCTCCTTATTGTCCTAATTGCATTGTCCCTCTTACGGTCGTGCATGTCCTTCTTGAATGTCCCGACTTCCAGGATGAGCGTGTGTCTTGCTATTCAACCGCCCCTCACGGTCACCTGTCCCTCAATAGAATTCTTGGTGACTAGGATACTTTTGATATCGTTCGCCTTATGCGTTTTTGTTCTCGTATTGGCATCCTTGGTGATATTTAGCGCCCTCTGATTATTCTGCACATTTGATGGTGCTACATAGCCTTCCCGGTTTGGTGCCTTCTTTTGATAATTACTTACTTCCCATACTTCACACATTTTCTTAATGAGGAAGGGACATTCTCTACTGCCTCTACTCACAACTGTTTTCTTTGGTTGATCCTTACCACTGACTTTCTTGGGACCCATGGTGAGATATATAATAATTACTTTTATGTTCAAATGCCCCAAAATCCGAAAAACACTGAAATTCTTTATAAAGAATTCACGTGTGATTGTCACTAGGCAGGAGGCACTGGTAAACTGAGGTGCTGTCGCCGTGCCACCACGCACTAGTTCGGCCATACACGTATCAATAAACTACGTTACCCAAGGCAAAGTTCGTAACCCGAATCAGATTTTACAAAGAAATTGGGCTCGTAACCCGAAAAGTTCGTAAAGAGGCGGCATACGTAAGTTGAGGTGTCACTGTGTATATGTATACACACATGCGCGCGCACACTGGTTTTCCTCTTAGAATAGATGACCTAAATATGAAGTAATTGCTATAGGCTTGAATAATGGCAGATTGAGCCTTTATTAAAAAAAAAAAATGAACCTTTTCTGACAAACCACACGTATATAGGATTTGCATAAAGTCAAATGTCAGAAAATGGTGATCAGATGCTGTGCTTCATCAAAAAAATTATTTAGAAGTTTTGATATTCCTGCAGACCTTGGAATAGTATGGGAAGTTAAATGTAGTTTTTTTTTTTTTTGTATGTATATATATATATATATATATATATATATATATATATATATATATATATATATATATATATATATATATATATATATATATATATATATATATATATAATATATATATATATATATATATATATATATATATATATATATATATATATATATATAATGTCGTACTAGTAGCCAGAACTCATTTCTCAGCCTACTATTCAAGGCCCGATTTGCCTAATAAGCCAAGTTTTCATGAATTAATGTTTTTTCGTCTACCTAACCTACCTAACCTAACCTAACCTAGCTTTTTTTGGCTACCTAACCTAACCGTACCTATAAATATAGGTTAGGTTAGGTTAGGTAGGGTTTGGTTAGTTCGGTCATATATCTACGTTAATTTTAACTCCAATAAAAAAAAATGACCTCATACATAGAGAAAAGGGTAGCTTTATCATTTCATAAGAAAAAAATTATAGTAAATATATTAATTCAGGAAAACTAGGCTTATTAGGCAAATCGGGCCTTGAATAGTAGGCTGAGAAGTGAGTTCTGGCTACTAGGTACGACATATATATATATTATATATATATATATATATATATATGTCGTACCTAGTAGCCAGAACTCACTTCTCAGCCTACTATTCAAGGCCCGATTTGCCTAATAAGCCAAGTTTTCCTGAATTAATATATTTACTATAATTTTTTTCTTATGAAATGATAAAGCAACCCTTTTCTCTATGTATGAGGTCAATTTTTTTTTATTGGAGTTAAAATTAACGTAGATATATGACCGAACCTAACCAACCCTACCTAACCTAACCTAACCTATATTTATAGGTAAGGTTAGGTTAGGTAGCCAAAAAAAGCTAGGTTAGGTTAGGTTAGGTAGGTTAGGTAGACGAAAAAAACATTAATTCATGAAAACTTGGCTTATTAGGCAAATCGGGCCTTGAATAGTAGGCTGAGAAGTGCGTTCTGGCTACTAGGTACGACATATATATATATATATATATATATGTCGTACCTAGTAGCCAGAACTCACTTTTCAGCCTACAATGCAAGGCCCAATTGCCTAATAAGCCAAGTTTTCATGAATTAATATATTTTCTCTAATTTTTTTTCTTATGCAATGATAAAGCAACCTATTTCATTATGTAAGAGGTTAATTTTTTTTTATTGGAGTTAAAATTAACGTAGATATATGACCGAACCTAACCAACCCTACCTAACCTAACCTAACCTATCTTTATAGGTTAGGTTCGGTTAGGTAGCCGAAATAGTTAGGTTAGGTTAGGTTAGGTAGGTTAGGTAGTCGAAAAATCATTAATTCATGAAAACTTGGCTTATTAGGCAAATCGGGCCTTGCATAGTAGGCTGAGAAGTGCGTTCTGGCTACTAGGTACGACATATATATATATATATATATATATATATATATATATATATATATATATATATATATATATATATATATATATATATATATATATATATATATATATATATATGTCGTACCTAGTAGCCAGAACTCACTTCTCAGCCTACTATTCAAGGCCCGATTTGCCTAATAAGCCAAGTTTTCCTGAATTAATATATTTACTATAATTTTTTTCTTATGAAATGATAAAGCAACCCTTTTCTCTATGTATGAGGTCAATTTTTTTTTATTGGAGTTAAAATTAACGTAGATATATGACCGAACCTAACCAACCCTACCTAACCTAACCTAACCTACCTATATTTATAGGTAAGGTTAGGTTAGGTAGCCAAAAAAAGC